CGATTTCTGTTGTTCCTTTAATAATTTCATCCGTATGAACAAAAATGAACCTTTTACGGTTCGTTCTAATATATACAAATATACATTTTATTAGTGTAACTCTAAAGTGATTTTTTTCTTTATAGGTAGATCTAATCTTAGTCTTAAGCATACATGCCCTAGGCATTATCTGTGATCAGAAGCAGGGCCTTGTGCAACAGTATTGAAAAACTTCCACATGGTCATGTTAATAAAGTAAAGATATGTTCGTGTTGTGAATGTCATGGGAGGACTTACTTAAACATACAAAATGTTAAGTTATTAACAACCTTTTTAGAATTTTGCATGGGGAGTAAATTGAATGTGTTCAGTTTCATTCAAATTATAAATTATGAACCAAGGTTTATAAATTGCTGCATGATATTGGGCATATTTTTCTATATAGCAAGGACCATTTAAAATGTCATCCTCCATTGATAATTCTTGAAATCATGCAGTTTAAGGTCAAAATTCAATTTGCATAATGTTTTTGGCTTCCCTTTCTGCAAAGTTAGTATTATTGTAATAACACTTATTTTCTCTTTACTATTCAGAAGAGGCCTAACCCCTCTTTCCTACTTGTGAAAAAACTATAATTACCCGACTTTGAATGTCAACCGAGTTTTATATCATACAATTAAAATTTATTCCCGTTGAAAGTATCAAAACGCTATCTGTAAATGTATCTACATTTAGAATGCATCAAATAATTGTGTCTAGTGTCTGTGTAATTGGCGGGATATTTTGATAATGGAACAATAGCAACTTTTTCGACATAAGAATAACAGTCAAGGTGTTCCGAGTGAAAAGGGAAGTGATGCATTAAATACCATTTAAAACGACAAAGAAATGTACAATAAAAAATGAACGAAAGTCGTTGTTTTTTTCGACATCCCCATTCATATATTTGTCTACTTTCGTATTAACCTATTAATTGACTCTGACTTCCCAATTCATATGCTTTGTCTACTTTCGTATTGACATATTGACAGTCGCCTATTGATGTTTTGGAAGAGATACAGGAGACTGTCAATTAGTCGGCCCATGCAAAAACAGTCAGTTATCGCAACTAACATGTAAAATATTTCTTGAATATTTTATTTTTCTTAAAATCTTAGTCACTGTGAGTACATTTTTCTCAATTTCAATTTTCTTGAAATATTTTGGCTCATACAGCTTTATGAACTTGAGCATTTACCAACATGCGTGACAAATGTTTGTGACCTAACTAGTGTACAGAATAATGATATTTTCAAAATTGTATATGCACTCAATTTTCGTTGTTATTATGATTAATTGAACTTATGAACTATCATGTGACAGTTTCGACAGTGTATTGGTTCAAGGTACATGAACCAGTAGATCTGCGAGCGTGGAAATGTACGGAAACAATTTATCAGGTGACGATTAGAATATAGTTCGCGCTTATGCACGTGCTGTATCCGTATATAGACTACAGATGGGTTGGGTCTTACCCCACACCGGGGTATCACCTTCCCGTATTTTCAAGTTAAATCTTTATTTATTTATCCATGTACCTTGAGGGAATAATAATGAACAAATAATATAAAATGATATATCATAATACAAACATAGCAAAGAAGTGAACTCAATGAACTTTTAGCATTATTGGTAAAACGATTAAAAGTAGTTTAGGTAAAGTATTTCTATTATCACTGCACATTGAAAGTAAAATGTAATACGAAGTCTTTTTTAGCACAGTAATTAACGATATTCCTTATGCATTTCGTGTGTAAAATAACTATATTAAAATATAATGAAACCTATCACTCGTTTCTTGTTGACTACAAAGTGAGCTGGTACAATTTTCTCTTTCAATACCAAAATAACGACTTTTCTCTGTAGAAAGGTCAGAAAATGGACACCAAAATTTACAAAGAGTTATTGCTTATCCTTGCTTAAATTGAGTTTTGTACATTGTATTTTTTTTAAATCTATCATAGTTTAAAACATCACTGCTCTATTTTTGTAACAACTGATCACGTTAAAATGTTACATGTTTAAAGTCATTAAAAATTAAAAAAAAACGCTTTGTTGTATCAATAAAAACTGAACAGCCAATATTGTTTAATGCAGTTTTTTCTTTCCAAATCTACTGACAATGTAAAATACCCCGATATATATTGCAATACACTATATCGCTAATTTTATAAGCATTAATTACCAGTAACTGATTTAGATCTTTCCGAAAAAATTAACATTCTACAGATTATACCATTATTGATGGAGAATACACCTAATTCTCCTTACACCATCACCGAGGAAGTTGATATTTTGAGATTAAGTATACACAAGTTTACAATATTTTATTTTGAAAATGAGACATGATATAATTATTTTCATACCTCAGTACTTCCCGTCACATATATACATACATATCTATATTCAGCTCTCAGTATTGCGTTAACCATACTACTCTAGAATAGAATATCAATAGGCAAACCAGCTAGCAGTTTTTATATTAAACAGAGCCTTCCGAGCTGTTCTGTTAAGTATTCTTCTTTCAACCTGGTTTCCTTTATATGGATGATTTCATTTTCTATTATTTGATGCATCCCAAATGTAGATACAGTTGCACATAGCGTTTAAGTACTTTAAAGGGAATTTTAGTTGACATTTAAGGACGGGTAATTATATTCTGTTCGCATCACTGGTTGCTTAAAGAACAGTACGTGACGTGTTTTTACACAATTGATATGTATTGGAATGATATACAGTATTCTAATTTATATAGGTATACACACCATATTACAGGCGCCAGTGATGACAGATTGTTGCAGTGATGGCAGAAATCTAAAATTTTATTATTAAAGGTAGCTTGTATATTTACTTCGCATACAAGGCAGTTTTATTGCCATGGAGTTCCTGTCCATGGAGTGAAGATTCTATCAGGTAATTTTGGACTCGTTTCCCACATTTCATCTATTTTGGAGTAGATGAAGGGGATAAATTCTTGTTATAATCATTCAATAGTTAGATTCACGCATGCTAAATCAACCCAGTGTTTCTTTTCTTGAGACTGTTACTGGCGTTCAAACTAGGCCAGTTGCAAAGAAAATGCTGCCGTTGAAGGTAAAAAAGTGTTTTCAAGGCTGCCGATGATGGACTAAACGCTTTTAAAGTGGATAACATTCAGAATCTTCTGACCATCTTTATTTTAAAAAATAATAATTTCTTCAATGTTAGCGCACTTTCCTCAACTGAAAAAAGGTTACATGAATGTTTAATGGAAACGCAAATATATGTAAGTTTTCTTTCCTTGAATTGATCAGTAACAACAAAAAAGTATATTTAACGGCAGATAACTTAACAACACCTGTCCACAAACAGCTTGCTATTAAAGTAATATGTAGAAAAGAGTGCATAATTCGGCAAGCGTATTTAGCATACTTACCTGCCTTTGATAGTCAACAACAATTTCAACCTTCACCCACCGTTTTTTTTTAAAAGGCAAATAAAAAAAGAAAAAAAGGAAATAATAAAGCAATAAAGACTTTCAGGATTATCCCCCTCCCCTGCAAATGCATTTTAAATTTGATAGTTAAAACAAAAAAAAATAACCAAGTAATTAAATGAATGAAAAAGTTACCTGCCTTTTAGAAATTCTTTGCAATTTCATAAATCAACAAGTATTCCGAATTTGAAATGATAAATCTTGACAGTTTTTGAGAAATTTTCGTAAGAGAAAAAATAAATAAGTAAAAAGGGGGCATAACTTCACAAAATAAATAATTTACTATTATCTGCCCTTTTCGAATGGTGTTAAAATCCCAGATATGATTATTTTGCATAAACATAAACAGTTACATTCCTCATATTAATTTATAGTGTACTTTGGTCGTAGTGAATCATATTTTGTCCTGTAACTGTATGTCCATTAAAGGCTTATTTCAATACACCTATCGCATAAGTAACTTTTTCGGTTTGGGGAAATATTACAATTGATAGTTTACGTTTCAATTTTGGAAAAAAAAGTACGCTAACAACAAAGAATTTGATAAAAGAAGCATCTTGATTTTCTGTCAGTATGTTACCCACTTTTGGGGCGTTTCTGTCATCAGAATGACAAAATAGTAGAATGTGGGGCAACTGCATCCTTTGGATTACCATTGTTTTATTAAACACTATTCATGGCATGCTGAATTTGATGTCTTTTGTTTGGCACATAAACCTCCAGAAACATAATGATCTTGTTCATCAACCTTAAGATTTATTAAGACCAGAACAGCAGTTTGCTGGCACATTTTGAATCCTGTCCTATGTGTTATGTTTACCTTAGTCATAATATTAATCTGTAAAAGTTTAGGAATCAAAACTGCGATGGATATTTTTAACCCGTATTACGCTTAAATATGTAACTTAAATGGACTTGCATTTATTCCAATCTGGACAACCATTCATTATCTAAGGTAAATTTGGCTGCAAAGCTAATAGTGCAGACCACCTATGTGCCGACTGATCTTGGCATACATGTACACTTATGTGTCTTATGGATATAATCTATTGCGACAATCAGACTGTGGATTAAAGTGCGTCGCTTCCCTAATTTTGTAAGCCAAAGCCGTCATCTTGGTTACCGAAAGTATATTTTTATCTACTATCTATTCTGTTAAATATAGATAACTGATAATTGACATTCAGCGCAAATTTACTTGAAAAATCAAACGACATTACAGTGTCCTATATTTAAGCAATGTAGCTAATTAACATTCGATATTTTGACTAAATTGCTTATGTCGATCTTCTTTTCAATAATACATGCATTATATACCTTAAATATTAGATCTACATTGACAAAAGGTTTTACTTCACACAAAAAACTGATATTTTGGTACCAAACTTAAGTCTTTATATTATATAAGAATTTTTGTAAATGAAACATGGTCACATCTCCACATTTACAATTTGGTTCACATCTTAAACAAATAAGACGTATTTATATAAATATGAAGGCAAATACCTAACATTGAACAATTCCTTTTAATAATAGCATGATATACATGTACATTTAACTAAAATCTTAACACTGTAAGTCCTTTTCTATCAAACAATATCTTAAGAGCATTTGATTCCAAAATATTAGCTGACAACAAAAATTAAAAATGAAATTCAAGAGATTAATGAAAAATGTATTTCTGGTATTGTCTATATGAAACCCAAGTAAGGCTTCTTATCTCTTACATTTGGATTGCAATGCTTCCAAAGTAAGATCAGCCAAATCGTTAGCTTGGAATTCGTTCACAGAGTCAGTACAGGCCTTCTTTAGTGCACCTTTTGAGCTGGCATATAATATTTTCTGTTTGATACCACATTCTTCATCACTGCACCTGAAATATAAATTAAAAACATTAGCATGTATCACTATAATTGCCCTGTACAACTGCCACTATTATACAATGCAATTTTGTGGACGATATTTCAAACCCACACACATGCCTTATTTAAATAGGGAGACATGATAAGCAGAAGACGTTTTTTTTTTGTTGTTGTTTTCTTAAACATTTATTGTAGAGTATTTTAAAGTTAAGATTTTGAATAAGGTGAGTCGGAACGCTTTATCAGTCAAAAAGAACATGCAGGCAAACGGTGATAAAATACGTCAAATGTTTAGTAAATCAACACTGAAATCATGTACAACAACAACTAAACTAAAACCTAAATGAAAAGAATTACAATAGACAACAATCAAAACCTTTAACTGTCGAAGAAACTGCTTTAAACTTTAATGTAGAAATTCCTATAGACACTGGTTAAAAAAAAATACTGATGAAATGTCAAATGTACCTTTGTCAATGGAGAAGTTGCGATGCGATGTTTATCAAATAATGAGAAGATAGCTGACATAGTTGAAAATAATCCAACAAAAAAATCATTAAATTTTTGGATAAAAAATGCATACAGAAATGAAAAATAAAAGAAAGATAGATACTAAAAGCAAGTAAATGAGCTAAGAGATGAAGTGAATACAGATATAAGATATTCATAAGAACAATTTTATGTGCTTACAAGTAAGTTGAATGGAATCAATTTCAATAAGATCGGAAACTGAAAGTACATATTTTCAACCCTAAAGAAAGAGAGAATGTAAATGTGTATGAAATTGTTTCAGATCTAACACCAGATGCACTAATGTTACCTAATGTTGAATTTTAATAAAATACCAATTATTGTTTATAAATATGAGGTAATATCACAGTATTTAATCATGTTTTTCAATTCTTGTTATAATACTGGCCAAGTACCAAATACGCTCCCTTCGCAGCTCACTTAATACACTCACGTTACTTCAGACAGAAGTAGAAAGAAAGAAAGTGAGCTATAGTGGAACATTCGACCGATGCGCAGGAGAGTAAGTACCAAAGTATGTGGTAAAAGTAACATTAATCCTATTCCGAAAGGATCTACAACAAATACTTAATGCCTTCTCTTATATCGTGGTATATCTTTTACACAAGGTTGACAAGATATGAATATAATTAAAATATTGTCTGTGAGTTAATAATTTGACACTAGTAATTGTGAGACATACATGTATAGACAAAATAGATACATTGCAAAGTTGCCAAAATCCTAGAGTCTTATACATTACAATTCCATTTTAAATGAAATGGGTAATGTCTCTAAAAAGTTTCACAAACTTAATCCAATCACTTGTTTTACAAATACAAAAAAGTTTAATAAATAGAATAATTTAATCTAAGTAAGTAAATACTGCTATCGAGAATCTTTAATATACATTAGTACTTTCTATAGTCTAGGTATTAACATACCAAACTATCATAGCCATATCTCCTTTTGCTCCTATATGTGCTTTCTCATCTTGGTCTGGTTTTAGAACGTCATAAAACGCATATCTCCCTTCACCAGCTTTGGCGGCTGCATCCATTAGTGCCAGGAAATCATCAAATGTTTCTTCTGAAAAGGTAATAAAAAAACTTCATGTTTATCTTGATATTTTAGTAACAATTAACTCTTTGATACAAAGTGCACCAAATCATGCTTTCTCTTGTTGATTTTTCTATAACTCATTTCTATTCATTGTAGTGAAGTCAGAAACAGCTGAAAAAGTTTCCATAGTGGATTTATCTTACATTTAACATTTATAAATGGTTACTTTTAAATACAATGAATTTCAAAATGAAAATGCAGTTATTTAGCAGACTAGACCAAACTCATCAGGTCAAAGTATATATACCAGGCTTAGATTTGTACTCGACTATAATTTCTGAATTATTTTTATTCAGTTTCATTATGACAAATCTTCCAATTTCTTCCTCTCCCTCATCCTTAACCTGGAATGACCCCTTTAACTTTTCAAATACCGTCGTGCATTCACCATTTGCTTGTACTCCCGAAGCCTATAAAATAGAGGTAGTATGTTTAAAACAAGGGTGCTGTTGTTCACAGTGTCACAGTGTCACTGTTTACTATTCCTCATGCTGGATAGTGTAACAAATGTTTTAATGATGAATATACATATGAGTATAAAAGTCCGCAAGAAATTAAATGAAAGTCAAGTGAAATGTCAAGAATATCCTACCATAGGGTATCAAAATAAAATTTTATGGTGAGGTACATCATGTGAATGATTACTTCACATGTAAAACTTTAAATGTGATATAAGCTTGCAAAACAAAAGAGCTAAAGCCTGAAAACACAACAAGGGTTAGTTAAACTGTTCTTACAACTTTCACTTTCAACTCCGTGAAACTAACAAGTACTGGTGGCATATAAGAAAACATGGCCGTGACTCGAGTAGGGCTCAAACACATGATCCCTGGGTTGGTTGCGAGGCAGACACATTTACCACTAGGTTACCGCTCACCACGTCAGGAGATCATTGTAGTAATATTTTTTAAAAAACAATATTTTGTCAGTACATAACTGATTTAAAATTTCATATTTAAAGATGTATTAGCCTCAAATTTGAAATTTGAAAATATTGGAAATTGCTACACAATTCTTTTGTTAAGGTCAAATTAACATGTTTTTAGTACATACGGAGTATTATGTATAACGTTTTGAACTATACACACTACAGGTAGACACAGTATAAATACATAGTGTAATTAAAACAAACTGGCAGTTTTTTTTAAGAAATGGCCAACCTTGCTCTACTAGTTATTGGGAATGCAGTTTTCAATACACAGTTTGTGCATTCTATTATTCAAATTACACATCATAAGTAAGATTTCATGTACTTTAATAAATTTATAAATTTCTGCAATAAAAATATTTTACTAAAAGATGAGCATATAAAAGTATATCTTTAACTTTGACAGTTAAAGTAATTTACCTATCAAGGTCATGATGCCATTTTTTTAATTGTCCATATTCACGGTCATAACAATTGCTTTTTTAAGTGAATAAAATATATTCATTAATAGCAATGTTATGGTACAAATCAACACCTTGATCATGTTATTTTAATGTATAGGTCAAAATTGTAAGTGTAAAACAATGACACAGGAAATACATGTTGTGACCGAGATTACCGATATTGTAACCTAAATTTATTTTTTTCAAAAGTACCGCGACACAAATTGGCAAAATGTTTGAAAAGCAATAAAAGAAAACTGGCCTATGTTTTTTATTTGACCTTACGTATTCAAACCTGGTCTGGACCAAAAGGGATTTCTTTAATTTGAACTGGTGGTCTAAGTTTTTATTCTATATACTATTATTCATTTGCATTCAATTTATCACTCAAGAAACCAACCGCATGTTCAGGAAAAGCATCATATACAATTAACAGACTTTAACTTTTTATAACCGTACAACGTCATTGTTCTAAGACAATAATAATTGAGAATTTAATACAATGCAAAAAACTATCTCAATTAGGAGTGCCTACTAGGAAAGCCATGTTTTATATAGAATTGAAATACCAGTACGATGCTTGAAATCAGTTTGTGGGTTCCTGCTGGGAAAACCACTATGTATTGACATTTTGTATTTATTGAATATTATTACCTGTACATTCCGAACATCTCTCATATTTCATACATATTTTACATTGATTTTATGGAGTTGTTTTAAAAACTATAGTTCTTTATTATCACATTTTAAGTAAGTTAAACTTTTGTAACTTTTTGTATTTATGTCTAGAATATAGTAAAGTTTAACGATATAAAGATTTAAATGCCCTTTTAAAAAGTGTCTATTATACATCTGTACCTTAAGTTAACATGTTTAGTTTCTTAGGTTTCGGAGGTTATACCGAAATACTGTACATCCGTTCTGTATATTCTTACTATTGTATCGCTGTTCTTATCCGAAGTTCGACAGAAAGGACATAGAAGATGTGATAAACCAGGAAGTCTATTTCACGATTCTTTTTTATTTTTTATGTGTGTAAAAATCTGTCTATAGGTTTTACTTGGATTCAACCATGTGGCCTGTTTTCAACCAAAATAGACCTTTATTAAAACTTGACCTGTATGTCATTGCTATGTTAATAAGTTTTTTCTTACACTTGGCTTGTTTACCTAATTTTTGAGACAGATAACCTTTATGCAAATGTAACTTGTAAATCATTATACATTGTATATTACTAATAGTAACATTTTGAGAAATACTGATCAAGATCAAAATGAAAATTATGACATTTGGAACTCAGCATGTTTTACTTGGATTTGACATGGTGACCTATTTTGTTTGCAAGAGGGCCACAATTATTTGAAGAAACTTGGCAGTTTGGACAGTTGAAATTTTTGAACATGTTATTGGCTAAAATTGTGTTCTACCTAAAATCTTGTATTTATGCAAACAATATCAAAATGACTGAATTTAAACAAATGTTTTAGAAAATAATTTACATACAAGAAAGTAATTCCAATGTTTTAAAAATTATGCACTGCACTGAAAAAGTCAAGGCCGTAGTCAAAAATAGAGAAAAAACAATTTGAAGGCTATAAAATAAATCAAAAAGTACATTAAATTCTATAAAATAACGAATGGTCCATAAATTTACAGGCTGTATGTGAATATTATGTAAACATTTACCTGTACAATTGCAATATGTTCCATTGACTGATTGGTCTATATGGTAGAATTAGTCAAAACAATTAGACATGTCAGAAACATTGTATTTTGTAAACCTTACCCATGAGTGTCATTCACATATTCTGACACCCATTTATTATGTTTATCATGATGGAAAAAAACCTTCCATACTGCCTTAATGTGATACCCTTCCTTGATTAAACAATTTCTTCAGCACTAACAGTCATGTTAAATATTACGGTTACATTGTCATTCAAAGCTACCTACTACTATAATTTTGTTAAATAAATCTTGCAGTCTTTTTCAAAAGTTATCCTATTCTGAATCAACTATATCAATGTTCTGAGTATTTTTGTAATAAGTCTCTGAAAATATTTGGAAGGGGAGATTACCATATTGTAACAAAAGACTAAACATTTCTCAAAAATTTAAACAGCATTAAATCAGCTTTGAGGTCTACTAAATTCCACATTTACGAATGGATTCAACAATGTCTACAAAAAACCTGACGACCCGATAGACTTTAAACTGAAAAAAAAACTTATCGTCACACTTCCGTATTCGAGATCTGGATTTGTGTTTTTTTAAGGAAAATCTTTTCATTCTTGGAAATCAAAAACTAAAGTTAAATGGTGTGCAAGAAAATAAGCCAACTTACCATTTTGTGGGTCGGAACTGATCTCGTGTCAAGTCAATTTCGGCAAAAATTCCTCTTTGTGAATCGTAAATCCGTTGCAAAGTCGCATGTAACGATGATTGTTTAATTTGACTGGACAAAATAAAATAACGTGTGTATTTAAGTTTAAAGAACTTATAAAATATTAAAAGTTCAGTAAATTCTAAATGTATTCTATGAATAAGATAAAGTTAGCAAAATTATTTATATGTTTTATAAATGCAATACGTGAGTAATTTGTGAAAGCAGAGTACACGAGTTTGCCTTATATGGCAAAAGAAGCCCAAATGATAAGTCACATGCTACTGTTACGAAATCCGGCGGGAAAATAAAAACAACTTTCTAAAGAGGAACAAACTAATTATTGCGAAAACATAAAAGCATTTAAACAAGAATATGTCAGAATCTATAAATAAATATGTTCTCATATCTGTATTTATCTGATGTGCAGTAAATAAATCTATCTGGGTGCGTTTCGTCGTAAACAAATGACTAAATTTAAGACTAGTATAAAAATGTCTAGGACGATTTTTATTATTAGATCGACTCTATTTTTGTGATAATTGAAATTACAAAAAAGTTAAATCTTAATCCCGTAACCTTATTTCTTACTTAGATTGATACCGAGTGCAGTTGTTAACGCAAGCGTGCGATATAAAGCGGTTATTTTAGCCATAGCTTTGACCTGATTACACAAAAATAAGGTGAAATTTAAATTTATGGACAAGCTGTGTATAAGGCATTGTATATCTTTGCATTTTTGATAATCTGCTCTATTTTCAGTGACATTTAGTTTAAAAAAATTTCATTCCCTTAAACTAAATGTGACATCAAATAGACAGATTATCTAAAAATGCAAAGATAAACAGTGGGTTTAAATTGAAACAAAGGGTTATTATTTTTTCCATGTTTAATTAAGATTCAATTTTCAAATCGTCACCCTATTATTTGAAATTATGAGAATATTTTTTCTTGTTCTATTGTTTGCCATCCCGTCTGATTAAAATTGTAGCATGTAAGGGAGTCCTAAATGAAGATGATCCCCTCCTTAATCACACTTCCTGACATACTAGGTAAAGCTTTGGTTTTAAAGATGCCGATCAATCAATATATTTGATGAAGCCGAGGAGATATTAGGTAGCACTAAGTAACAAACTGTTTCTATAAACCAAAACAATGTTTTTGCGAGAGTGATGTGGTAATTTTTCAATAATCGTGTACATGTATTTAAATTAAAGTGTTGTATAGTAGTATATACAGTCTATCCAAAATAGATAACGCTTCAATGGTTTATGAATACTATATATGGTTACGTTAAGTTTACCTGCCTATTATGTACACACTAACTATATACAGGTGTGTCGTACTTTTTAGAGCACTCGTATGAATAATGATTTTAAACTTAAAACTCTGTCAATAGGCTAGATGACACTTATTATGACTTAGATATTTTCTATGAGCCATAGAAATTTTTTAAAAAAGTTTTAAATAATGTTATTTTAAATTGAATTAGTCAGCGGCGGCCTTTCTGTTGTTGTTGTTGTTGTAATTGTTGTTTGAGGGATTTTTTAAATCAATCTGATCGGATCCGTCTTCACATCATTACTGTACAAAAGCGAAACTCTCTTTTTGTTGAACAAAGTATATACACTTGTAGAATTGATAACAGAAACCTAATTTACAGATTACTACAGATAGGTTATAAATTGTGTTGCTATATTCATATTTCGCAAATACAAGATCATGCTCCATTTTTATTGTTTAAAATATCTCAAATTTGAAATAGATGAAGGGGGATATACACATTCACCACTTACTTAGAGTCTCGCATGCCAAATGTGTCTTTACTTAAGAATGTTACAGGCGTCGAAGGAAAAATGCTGCTGTTGTAGACTGCCGATCTGCAGACGGACAGTCAAACGCATGGGACTATCAAAAAAGCCGCAAAGTATTAGTCAAAAAAATTTAAGATATTTGACAGAAACAATAATTGATTTGATTTTGATTTAATCATATTTTATTGCTTGAAACATGTACATGTAACATAAAGATTACATTAACACAAAACAGAATACAATAAATACGGATAAGGAAACATGTATGTTAACAGTTTGAAGCAAATGGGTTGGGCCACAAGTTTTACCAACATTAATGAAGGCCCTTCCCTTCCAATAACTGATTGTAAACTAGAAATGTGTCCATAGGACACGGATATCCCCACTTTCCACTATTTTGTCATTGTACAAACAGACAACGGGACGAACAAGTTTTGTTCAGTTAAATAGATTAACAAAGTACGAATGTGTGGTTAAAATACTGTATGGTTAAAGCAAAGTACATCTATATGTAAAAAGAGGCACATATAAACGAAACTTTTTAACTAACTGGACTTTTGTGACTTACTTTTTTTAAAGTTGTTTAGGTGTCTGTTGTTTCATTGTAATACAGAATTATTTTTAAACCAGTGACTCATCAATAGGATTGATCTGACTAACAAGCAGCTTTGTAATACTGGCGTTTGAAACGTCCGAAAATAAATGTACGACACGAAGAACAGAATCTTCCGCTGTAAAGTTCATTCATTCTAGTTTAAAAATAATTCTCGAAATTCAAGTCACATATTGAAATTTTATGTTAATGGCAGCTGTGGCTTTCCATAGTTTTGTTTAAACGGCAACATCGTGCACGCGCGTTTTAAATTATACGTTTAGTTTTTACCGTGTATGTTTAACATCCGGTATTGAATCGGTGAAGCTCGACAATTTCCGTCACTGATGTACATTGTCGAGCTCACCCGTGCAATATCGTAAACACTGGAATATGTGTTTATCGAACAAATGAATTATCTTTGTATTTACACAATATGAATGTAAATTCATGCTATTTTTTCATATGATATATTTAAGATATTTTGCGAGGCATGAGGCAAGACGGTTGCTTGCCGATTTGCTGAAATAAAACATAAATTTGAATCAATTATTATAATAGGGAATGAAATAACTTCAAATAAGTATCAAATTTAATATATGTTTTATGGTAATAATGTCACCATTCCTGAGGCAGTTGAAATATTATGTGTAAAGTACGGTCTGTATTGTTTCGTGAATATTTCGGATGCTAATTGATTAAACTGAAACAATACTCATCATGTTCAAAAATGACTAAGTTAAAAAAAAAACAATACGTTTTCAGATTTTTCATTTAGAGTTAGATATGCTAGCATGAATATCTGTCATATTATTTCCAATTATTCTTTATTACATTTATTAAAAACGTGTTATCATGCAAGATCGCCATTTCATGAACTACTCGTAAAGGGATTGTTACAGATAGCGAACAAAGTCGAAACCATGAGTAATATTCAACTTTTATTGTTAGTAAATATGGTAAAATGTCAGGTTATGGCAAATAAATGTAATAATCAATTTCGGGGTCTCGGTAATCTAATAGGCTAATGACATTGGTGATGGTTCTACAATTAATTTCTTAAATGTCTTCTTGCGAGTGTTTTCGCAATATTTTCGTTTCATTCATTTGTTGATTTTTCAATTCAAGCTGCCCATTGGTAGAATTTTATTTTTAGTTTTGTTCGCAAATACGTAGCAAAAGAGCAAATAAATACATAGAGTAGTAAATATTGCCAGTACAAATACAAAAATACCAATGATAGTAATTCTGTACCATCTGTGACAAATTGAAATTTGTCATCTTTGTCATTGTATTTTGATGTATCAAATATGTAGCATACTGTACCTCAAGGTAAAAGCAAAGGGATGTTTTAATAAGTGGCACACTACATTTTATCATACCTCACGTGATTTATTTATTGTTTAGCCTTATATGACGTCAGAGGGTACTAATCAATAATGCAACATGACAACGTCATGTTTCGGCCCGCTTACAATACTAAACGACTGTCACGCGCATACCGGGCGCCGAGTTTCAGTTTTTATTGTTTTTGACAGAAATGTGTATCTTGAATATTGATATGGCATTCGTGCCATAGAAAGCTGCGTTTGACCTCATGTAAAAGAATGCATGTGTCATACACTTAATGTTTTAGTTGGTACAGGTATAATTTTATTTTCCTGTGCAAAAAAATATTTAAAATACACATGCAGAATGAGAAAGAAAGATTAGCGTGAACAAAACATAAAGGACAAAAGTGATGTTGAATGATATAACACTTTTTCTGTCATAGACATTAAATATATGTACAAATCTTCTCCACATAGTTACAACGAAACAAAACGAATTTGTGATTATAACAACATTAACTCATTGTTGTGAAAATTATACGAAATTATACTCAAATAGAGAAAATCATGTTTTCTTTCACATTAATATACTTGTTTACATTATATGAGTATGGTATGTTCACAAAATATAGTCTCCAGAATTAAAATAAAACTATCACATCTCTCATAAATTGTCATTTTTCTTATTTCAGATAAATTGTTAGTGTCATTGAACTGGTTGAATTTATTTTCTGACACTTTATCTATTTGTTTTACCTGGGATTTTTTATTTGATGAGCCATATGTCAATGACTTGACTACTAGGAAACAAACATTTGATTTTATGATAGACGTGTTAGTAGTAATAGTTTAAGTGCCTGTGGAATAGGATCAGTAAACAGACACGAGTTCGGAAACACCATTTGTTTGATAAAATCAGAAATTGCTTAAACATATTTTGAAATAATTAGTAAATGAGAAAAGAGTTCAGATAATTTAAATAAAACATATTTTATATCATTATATTGCAACCACACGAGCCGATCAAATGATAATGATTGTGAAAAGCAATTCACTTAATGAAAATGTCCCGAATAAGCTATTAACTATGAAATTGTCGACTGTAATTCAACAAAATTACATCATCAACACATTTTCATTAGGATTTTAATCGCTGCATCTACATGTGTGCACACATGGAACAAATGATAGGTTTCAATTTGGTTATGATCTTTACTTTGTTGTAGACAGCATGTAGTACATTTGCCGTCACTGGATTACAAGTTAATATGTACCGTATGTGACAAAGTCTATTTTTTCAGCAGAAATAGCATTGTTGAAGTAAGCCATGCCTTTAGTAATGAATCATATATATTATATTAGAACTATATTACTTCGAGTTGAATCATGATAATTTAACAATTTATGCTACATTGTCTATACTCATCAAATAGGGCAAGTGATTTCTCTCCTTGTGCCATTTAGTTATTACATGTATAGATATTTAGGGTACTCATTGTTATCATTTGCATTCTTTTTCCACGCTTTTGTTCCCTTGTTTGATGTTTTTATTTCAATAAGATGACGTTTTTTTTCTCTCGAATGTTGTTAATTATGTTATAAAAGGAGTGTTTTATGTACATTAAACAAGAATCAATTACACAGAATCTGACATCACGTATCCACATTTTGAAATGACATGTAAATAATGATTGAGAAGGAAAATAATAACAAATTATGATGGTATTGAAAAATTGTGAGGGTTTCTGCTGGAGAGAATTATCAATGAGCAAATACAGCATTATATGATTAGGTATTAAAGAGTAAAACTCTACGCTGAAGCTGATATTGGATATTTTACATGACAGATGACGAAATTGTGCTGATATATAAATATATCCGTGGCCAAAGGAATTGTATTATTTGAAGCTTTTGAATGATAAGATTAATGGAATATATTTGTAATGACACTTAAAAAAACGATGATATAATAAAAAATAGTGATATGTATTTATAATAGCAAGGAAAAGAACCATTTATTTCTATTTATTTTAGTATAATAAATCACTCCCAACTATTTTGTTTTAAAATGGTGTCTAGCCTTAATCAAACATTTACATGTGAAGGGAATGACTATGAGCCCACTTGGAAGGATATATTTAAAGCATGTGTTATTGGTTGCGTTTCGCTCGGGATCATTATAGGAAATGTTTTTTCTGTGATAGTGTTCAATAACTCAAGCAGTAGAAAATTATTTCTAAAGAAAGTTCGACTAACTATGAACTCATTAATTTGTACAGACCTGAGTATGGGCCTGTTCATGTGTCCGTTCTGTATATATTCTGCTCTCTACAAATGTTGGCCATACTCGGAAACTTTCTGTAAAATAGAGGCATTGTTCTTGTCCGCATTATTTCATGAGTCAACATTGTCACTTGTTTTAATAGCCCTGGACAGATACTTCTCTGTCCACCATTATTTAAAATATAACAGTTTCATGACGTCACGGAAATACGTCATTGTTATCTTAGCCACGTGGACAGTGACGTTTGGTGTTTATTCGATTGTGATATTTTTCGGGGAACAGTTCTATTTTGATGACATTGGGATAAACTGTGAACCTTATTATGAAAACCCAAACGTGACACTGAGTGTAATAGTAATATTTTACTTTATTCCCGCCTTGTTATTCTTATATAGTTATGGATCTATTTTTGCGGCTGCTAACCGGAAAGAGACCATTCGTGTATTCTCAAGAAATGCAAGACATTATGAGAATGTAAGTATAGCAAGAATTTAAATAAAGAATATAAATCAGTTTTACAATATTAAAACATAAGTATTACTTGAAAGTCATTTTAATGCCTTTTAATTCATGCCTTCTACTAATAATATTCTTGAAATTCTTTAAAAAGTGAAGCAACGTAAAAAAATCAAACCATATGTTCATTTTATATGCATGTATTCATTTTGTATTATGTTTTACTCTAGAATAATATGGATGAATTACAAATTAAAAAGCGTCATGTATGATGTATTATTTTGTCAGAGTAACCACGCAGTTTCTCAGATTTTACGTACTTCAAAATACTTGGCGGCCATCACGGCGGGTTTCTTTGTTGCCGTTACACCTTGGACAATCTGTACATTGACAATCGCATTGACCCAGATAAAGCTAAATGAGGACATAGACTTTGCAGTGACGTGGATTGCCATTAGTAACAGCTTTTGGAACGTCGTTATTTATAGCATTATGAACCGGAAGTTCAGGTATATTGCAAGGACATATATCATTTCTACACGGAAACCTCAACATGTATGGACTATAAGTCATCATTTTCAACGTATGTGTTTGATTTAGATACTGAAGGGTTGTTATTACGTCTACAAAATATTTGAAACGCTACAAAAATGTTTAAAACCTGTTCATACACTCAACGTTTTTTTATCATGATGTGAAGCTTCTAATCCTAATTAGTCTTGAAATGACCAATTTTCCCCGACCTTGTTGTTTAACTTCATTACGAAAGAATCGAAACAATGCTATGTTAAAAAAACAGGTTCAAAACTATGATTGCTAGGATCCTCTTTTGCGATTACATTTCCATTTATAAATAAAATCACACATTTCATTTGTGTTTAAACAATGCACTGTATAGTAATTGTATTACTTTTTAATTGATTGGTGAAATGTCCTATTAGAATTTCTTGTATAACATTTTGTTTTTTAATTTCATTTTCTACACAGTTTAATAAGTTTCCGATTCTAGGTAAAGTATGTCAAATAAAATTAATTTCAATAAACTGCCTTATTCTAATACATATTAAATGATTGTTTATTTCAGACAAGCAGCTATTTCCTTAACAACACGCCAAAGATACCGACAGTTCTTACAGCCTCGTTTTGTCTCGCGAGACCGAATATCAGATAGTCACGATAATACATATGATAGCCAGAGACATACAGAGTTGTCGAACATAGATCATATATCAGGGTACAGAAATACTGTATCAGTGTCGCAAAATGTTCAAATAAATTTCTATACACATGATTTTACAGCCGATTCCCAGCCAAGTGATGCTTAAGTTAAAATGGCTGATGATTTTAACAGTTTAAAAATCAAAGACAAGTGTTGAAGTAACGGAATAACAAATTGATTAGGCTCTTTAAAATAACTGTCAAATCATTGGAACACAGCTGAAACTTCGATACAAATCTGTCATAATTTGGTTACATTTGTAAATAAAAACTAACACCGTGCCATGCTTTAAAAGGTTTTTTAAGTGATAAGATCACTTGTACATGTATATTGGTGAACGCAATTCCCGTTATAAGATGAACCTCATTGAAATAAAAATAAAGTCTTTAAATAAATATTCAGAATCCAAAGTAAAAGCATGATTATTGTTGTGTCTTTACTCGACTAGAACTTTATTAAGCATTCCCTTTCATTGTATTTGAATTTGATAAATTCTAAGAACTGTTTTTTAAACGATTTTAAGAATTATTTATGGAATGAGAATTTACAAATATGTAAACATCATGAACATATGTTAGCAATAACTTGTTTGATTGATTGTTCTGCACTTAAGGTCTGTTTGAACATATTCAATGGAGAAAGGTCAATAGTTTCTATTTCATATTAATTTGGAAATATGAGTAAACCCATTTTTTCTATTCGTATGAACCAATGACCTTGAAGAAACACTGTAAATACGGGATTTACAACGTAAATCACAATTTACAATACTATTAAAAGTATATCATTGAGGTTCCGTTACAAGGAACGAAAAATAATCTTATAAACTGAAACAGAACAGAACATTCATAATCTTTATATATAGACTTGAGGAAAGTATTTAAAACATTGATAAAACAATAGAAATGTAGTATTCGGATATTCTTTTAAAATATTGCTTGAAAAAATGTTGATAAATTTCTAAGTTATTTACTATGAATATTTTATATGATGAATAATTATATTTTGTTCTAGAAAGGAAATAAAGATTTAAATTTAGCATACGAATTACAGATTGATCTTTTTGACAGAATGGTAAAACCAGTTTTACTTTATGGATGTGAAATCTGGGGGTTTAGGAAATGTTGATTTTATTGAAAAAGACCAATTAAAGTTTTACAAATATATTTTCAAACATAAGAAACTAACACTTTCATATATTATATATGGTAAACTTGGAATTTTTCCAGTTTGTATTGATATATACCAAAGAGTTAAATCATTTTAGACGAAATTGATTAATCTTTTCGAAATATCGACAAACTATCTGGTAAAGTTTACAGCATGAACACTTTTCCCAATAGATTAAAAATGTTATAAATGTGTTGTGTTCTGAGTATGGTACTGTCAGAGCTTCTTAAATGAAAAATGGTTGATTGGGTCAATTTGCCGAAAGTTAAAAGATAATTTTATACAGAAATTGCATTCTGATATACAATTAACATCAAACAAGAATATTTATAAAATATTTTAAAAGGTATTAAAACTGAGTTTGGTAGAAGTGCTTATATCAAGACGTAGCTTATCAATTATGCTGTATTTTACTAGAAATCATTGGCTGCCTGTGGAAACAGGAAGATTGCATACCTTCTTCTGAAAGAAAAAGTTCCTATTGTAATGATGATGTATTGACGAATTTCATTATTTTTTCACATGTCAAAAGTTTTTTGATGAAAGAAAAAAGTATTTAAAACGGCATTTCTATGTTAATCCATTTTTTTTTCAAATTAGAAGAATTGTTCAGTAGTGAAAATAAAATTTTACTAAAAAAACTTAGTATTTTTATCGAAATCATATCTATAAACACTGATATGTCTGGATTGCTTGTTTACTTGAAAAATGTTGAAAAATATATGCTTTATATATGTTTATTTGTAATTTTACATGTTTTATTTCGATATGTTTGTCATTCTCTATTTACGTAGCACTTGTCAATATGCCGCCATTATTCACTGTAATTATTACAAATGATGCTTATGTTGTTTACTTGATGTTAACCTAAGATGGAAATAAAAGATTGAATAAAAAAAAACAATTTATTGTCTGCTACCGGTATATTATATATCTAACATCGGATCATACATCTCACCCTGGCCAACAGCATCCATATATGAGCCGTGTCACGACAAAACCAACGTAATGCGTTTGCGACCAGCATTGATCCAGACCAGCCTGCGCATCCGCGTAGTCTGATCAGGATCCATGCTCTCCGCTTACAAACCCTATAACAAGTAGAGAAACTGATAGCGATTAGCATGGATCCTGATCAGACTGCGCGGATGCGCAGGCTGGTCTGGATCCATGCTGGTCGCAAACCCATTATGTTGGTTTTGTCGTGACGCGGCTCATATAATTCTTTCTTAGTTTGTTGTTATGTCTGATACTAGATACAATCAACGTAATTATTTATTTTATAATTTTGCATTTTATTTATAGACCAATTAAAATTAAATTATTGAAGGCATGTAGACAGAGAAAGATAACTGATCTTTAAAGTTACTGCTACTCTGGTGTCACTCTAAAATATTGAAAGACGTTTGCTTTTTGCAAACTTTTACCTGAAAAATGAAGTTGACGCTTTAATAATGAACTAAACGAACATAATTATACGAATGCACTTGTATTGGTTTCTAAACGACGTGATGTTATAAAGTAAAGGGACTCAAATCAATTCGTTGTATAAACATAATCACGACACTAATAATAAAAGTTTACAAATTGGAATAATGCTCGTAGCTCCTTTTCATAATCTAAATTGTTCAATACAACAAACATAACATACGTGAGTTTATCTAAAATAATAAAATGAGAGCATTATATGGTTGTTTACAGGTGTACCGTTACGTTTGCATTGCGACATGCAACACGATATTGTGTTAAGTTAGATATGATGTATTAAAACAATATTTTACATGATATTGTTGGCACAATGTCCTTTGTTCCAATTAAAATAGAGTGATTCGTGAATTGTTAACGTGCATTCGAGACGAATGATCCAAAACACATTAACTGGACATTTTCTTTAAAAACCATGTAATCGGACTAACCTTTTGCAATCTGAATGGTTTCTTATGAAAATACTGTAAGTGGAGAATTTCAGGAGTCCAGGAGTGGTAAAGGATTACCGTAGATACTTGTAGATACTTATTTACTTATCCATTCTTAGAAAAATGATGCTTATTCACATATTATAAGACACACAGATTTAGTGGTAGTTTAAAATATAATAAACAAGATCAACAAGGAAAATTGACGTTCAAGGAACGTCAAGGTTAACAAACGCTCTAAACACTAGAAAGGTCTCGTTCACATCCGACAATAAGAATAATGTTTGTCGTGCAGATTAAATAATCTTTGAAAAAAAATTCATCCACTTCTTGTTTCCTGCTGCAAGATAACTTGCAGTTGAAGAAAAACAAATGTTGTTTTCAAATGTCAGAAGGTGTACTATAAGTAATGTACAAAGATTTAACTGATAAAACAGAGAGTTTATTATGTGGTTGTTTCAATGAATATATATTTGAAAGACTTTCCTTTTCAAGAAAAAAAAAGGTAAATGCATACTGCTACTGCAAATTGGAATGGGTCGAATAGATTTTACGATTGATATAATATGTGAGATATGCTTCCAAAATAAACTTTATGATATTCCAATGTCATAAGCATCATTGTAGTAGATTAAAATAGATAGCAATTAGAATCTTGATAGCCATGTTGTCAGATGTGTATAATATTTTTTGCAATTTCAAAGCGGATATAGGGGTTTCATTCTTGTCATTTCGGGAGCATTATTAGCATTCTGGCCGTAAATTAAAAAAAAACAGATTTATTTATGCATAAATGATTTTCATAAAAGAAATACTTTGCTTGAAATTAACAAGCTTTTCAATATTCGATACCAATTTGAAGAGATTACTACAGAAGTTCATCTTAATATGTGTAAATATCACAAATACTGGCTGGCAATTTACGTCCTTTTTTGCTTTCCCTTAACGTTTTTTTGAATTTTAATTTTAGGCATTCTAAGTTATTTTTAAAAAGTGTTTATGATAAAATATTTTTTTTCCAAAAAATTTGGGGGAGAAAAATAAAATCATTAAAAAACGTAAAACAAAAAATTAAAACTTTTGGGGCCTTTTGATTGAATTTCTTGACGTTACTCGATTAGGTCCGTCCCGCCCCTCCCCGGCTTAGCGTTTAATCATTTAAGCTGAAATTGAAATTTTTGAATTTAAATTTTCCCGGGGGGTTTTTTTTAAAGTCGGAAATCATAAAACCCTTTAAATTTGTTTTTTTGTATGTTCTAAAAATGGGTTGGTTTCAAGAAAAAAAATGAAAAATTAAATGTTTTTTTGTGTTAGTTATAGGGAAGGAATTGAGCATATTTCGAAAATCATTTTTAAATTTCCCAATCTATATCTCTTTTTTTATTTTTAAAGTTAAATGAGCTGACACTCAGAAATATAAAAATAAAATTACACCATTCCAAAATGTCTAGATCATAATTGACCATTTAAATGACACAAACTACGGATTGATTTTTCTTGATATATTTTTGTTCAGTTGATAAACCTTGTATTAGCATGTGATATGACATTGCAAAATGATCTCAAATTAGTTTGGTCCGATAAATATCATCACGATAGCAAGCAAAAGTTTTGTAATCATGCTCTAAAATAGCTGAAATTGAATCCCTTTAACGTCTCTTTATTTCCAAGCTACAAGACAATACTTTCTTGAGATAAACAGTCCAGAAGAAATCTTGGAGATGCCATAAAATGAGATCTGTATTAATTGCTTATTGTAAACTTAACTCAATTCAGCGTAACGAAAACATCCGCTCAACAGAAATAATGTTGTTATTCGAAATAATTAAATGGGAAAGTGGGTGTAGTATAGTTTTACATTTTTATCATATGTTATACTGTAGAAATGCTATAATTTCAAAATGATTCTATTTTAAGTTTATCTTTTTATTTGCATTTTTGTCAAATATTATTTGTGATTACTCCATGTGCACAATTAACACAAGTAGAATACCATATTTGCCCGGTCATTTTTGTTTGGTGTCCTCCTTGGTTCCTTACCGATGGTCTTGTGTTGTTTGGTAGGGTGGGGTTACGTTCGTTCCTTGTTTTTCATATCCTATAATTTGGTGAACTATGTCCAGTATATCTTTGCTTCTAGCAATTCAATTTACACAATTCAAATAAATGTGCCAAAAACATGACATCTCATGTAGAAATGTCATGTGACCTTTAACCTTTGAATATAAACAACGTATTACAAATCACTTTTAATAAAAG